AACAGAAGTTATCTCAGGACACTTTTCAAATAGAGCAGGTCTAGACCGAACTCTTTAACATTATTTACAGAGACCCAACAGTACCACCATGAGCAAGCACTTGGAGACAAGGGCAAGGAAAAACTGCCTGTTAAAAGGCAGAAACCTAGGACAGATCCTCCGGCTCTAGGTGGGTGGTCGTCTGCCTCGATCAGTTGGGGTGAGAGAGAGAGAGAGAGAGACAGACAGAGAGAGAGAGAGAGTGGAATTTCTCCCATGGGGGATCAATAAAGGAATATCTTATCTTATCTTATCTTACAAAGTTATACCATTTGAGTAAAATGTTAGAACTATTAAATAGGCTATACATTATCTTGGCCATTTAAAAAAAAACATTAATATCATGCACATGTCGCCTTTCATGGACACATGGATTATTTATTCCAGCGTTCCTCCAACATGGAGCTAGACGCACAAACACAAGCCTCATTACTCCCACAGTTACCCATAAATAATTAATTCATCACGTGTACCTGTGAACCATCTTCATGGTGATATCTCAATCATCATTATCAAACATCAGAATCAGAATCAAAAATACTTTATTGATCCCTTGGGGGGGGGGATTTGTTCATCAGAAAGATGATCAACGATTAAAGTGCCCTGCAGTCAGAAATCAGTGTTTGTGTTTGTACCTGCAGTTTGCATATTTCATAGGTTTTTAATGTGGAAATTATACTTTTTTTTGAGAAAACACACATCATGTCTGAAGGGGAGCTTTAATTTATAGGGCTCCTAACTTCACAGGGTGCTTCACAATGACCCTTCCTAAGGCCCGCCCCTTTTCACTCTGTGGTCCAATGACAGTTGAGCAAGCGTCGGTCAGAACCTGTCAACTTTCTTGTGTTTCTTCGTGTTCGTCTGTGTTGAAAAGACAACCACATTTTGAAGATGGTTAAAAGATAACAGTGACATTTATAAAGTCACATCTTAAGTTAGCGAATGTTAGTAAAACAGTAGCTAAATAATCCAATCTACATAAATTGTTTTCTGGTTAGTTAGTTAATGTTTTGCTACAGAGGAAAACACTGCAAAAAGAAATGTTTATTTATTTATACTTTATTTTTTATTATACTTTAATAATGAATAAATTAAAATATATAATATAGAGAATTGTATAAAAAGTTATGAAAATACAATATGAACGCTGTATTATAAAATGAGATATGATGGTGGTTTACAGCCTGTAATATAAAAAAATACTTTATTCCATAAAAATGTATTTAATTATATTTCAACAATATTTAACAAAATAAAAAATAAAAGTATAAATAAAGGTTTTGCTATGATAAATGATGGTGTTTTACTGTTAGAGAAACTGTATTTAACCTATTTAGAGTTTACAGTCTTTTACTGTCATGGTTTAACAGTTTTTCACCGTAAACTCTGCAGACATTTTTTACAGTGTAGTGTTTTCGTCTGCAGCAAGACATTAGCTAACCAGCTAACTAATCAGCTAACTAACCAGCTAACTAACCAGCTAACTAACCAGATAACAACTGATGTAGATTAGCAAACTATTTAGCTCCTGGCGCTAAGGGTCAAATCAAGATAAAACGAGAGATTACTGACAGGGAAGTTATAATTAGGACGATAACTGCACCTTAAAATCAGTGAAACTTACAAACAACCTAAACAAACAGTGTTTTACTGTAAAATTATATCTCCCACTATATATTTATACTGTTTCTCATCATTTCACCAGCACTCATCTCATGAAAACTGTGTGCGCTGGTGTGAAGTCTGTGTCAGCTGTGCACACTCTTCTTTTATAATGATCAGTTTAAGGGGGTCGGAATGGTGTATGCATGGTTTTTGTGCCAATGCATCATTCATACAGTACATCTGGCCTCTGGTCTTGTTAATTACCACGTTGGCTCCGTGTTACTGGGAACACACTCATCACTGGTGGAAGATAATTTCACATTTTGACCTAATTTCCCCACAGTTCCACTTCCTCACACTCACATCAAAGCCGGCCACTTCAGGAGCGTCCAACTTGGGGAGAAGTTGTTGGAAACTTTTAATTATGTCACATTTAATTATCGTAGGAAACGAAGAGCTGTTCTGTGGATGCGAGCCTCAATCAAAGTGAAGCAGGGGCTCATATTTCACACCCAGGCACATTTACTCGTTACACCAGATGATGTTCAGAGGTGGAGGATTTCCTTTTTATTTTTCTTCTGGAAGTTGCAAAAAAGAAGAAGTTATAAAACATGACTGACAGGAAACTAGATTCAAGTGGAGCAGTAACAGTTTGACCAGAAGTTGAAGTAGTTAGGATTAGTTAGTAATACTGTAGAAGTGGCAGTAAAAGTATAAGTAGAAGGATAATAGGAACAGTATCAGTATTAATGGTGGTTAGTATTAGTGGTCATAGAGGTTGTACAAGTAGTAGTAAAATAGTAGTAGCAGAATGGGAGTAGATAGTGGTAGTAGTTGTAATATGAGCAGTAGAATACTATCAGTAATAGTATCAGCGGTCGTCAGAGTAGTGGAGTACTTGCAGGAGTAATTGAAGCTGTCGAATTGTGGTAGTAGTAGTATAAGTAGTAGTAGCAGTAATAGTATAAGTAGTAGTAGTAATAGTATAAATGTGCCACAGCACCCAGTACCTCCAACTCCTGCAGACAAAGACTGGTTTAGAACTCCTACCTACAACGCACAAGCCTTTTGCACTATTTATATTTAATTTCCACTTAAGTAGTTTAGTAGTTTTAGTTTAGTTTTAGTTTTTTAGTTTTAGTCAAGTTTAAGTTTCTGCTTATATTTTGTACAACAATGCATAGTGTATATACTTTAATTTATAGTTTTACATCTTCTAATATTAATAATATTAGTAATATTTTTATTGTGATATTCTTTGTTCTCTGTTTTTGCACTACTGTGCCCTATTGCTGCTGTGTCAACCTGAATTTCTCCTAAGGGGGATAAATAAAGGAATATCTCATCTTATCTTATCTTATAAGTATTAGCAGTAATAGTATAAATACCAGTAATATAAGTAGTAGTAGTAATAGTATAATTAGTACTATCAGAATTAGTATCAATAGCTGTAGAAGTAGCAGAGTACCTGTAGTTGTTTTAATAGCACTTGTAGTAGCAGCAGCTGAAGGGTAAAGAAGAACTAATAGTGTCCGTAGGTCGTCACAGAAGTAGTAGTAGTATAAGTAGTATAAGTAGTATAAGTAGTAAGCATTGCAGTAAAGCAGTGGTAGCAGTAATAGTAATAAAGGTAGTAGCACTAGTATTAGTAGTCATATAAAGTGTAGCAGTAGTAGGAGAATATCAGTAGTAAATGTATCAGTAGAAGTGCAATAGAAGTTCTTATTAGAATTATAGTAGTAGTAGAACAGCAGTATTAGTACAGTAGTAGTCGTATAGTCATAGAAGTAGTTGCAGTACTAGTAGGGGAAGAGCATTAATGGAATACTAGCATCAGTAGTAGTAGTAAAGGAATAGTAGCATGCAGTAGTAGAACATTATTAACAGTATTAGCAGCAGCATTAGTACAGTAATAGTATAAACAACAGTACATTATCCACAGTTGGTGTCTAACACTCTATCTAGTTTTCAGTTTGTGTTTCCTTTGAAATCCTCCTCCAGCTGTCAGCTCACTCTCACAGATCGACTCCCTCTGTTGACACACTGGAGGTGAACAACCTGCACATTTCTTTATGTGTGGCTTCATGCTGCTTATCCACTCAACAGCTTTGTACCTCTGCATGTTCACCCACAGTGAGCGAGCCCAGAGCTGCAACACGTTCCCCCTCACGCAGAGAAGAGCTGCACACAAAACGTGTCCTACATGTACGGTACGCTGTATTTTTAATGTGATAATCGTCAACAACAGAGAAAAACATAAAACTCACTCAATTACTGCTCTTAATTAGTTCTTATAGAAGCCTGTAGTGTATTTATTTCACAGCTAATAAGATAAAAGGTATTTTTATTCTGGTGATGTTATTGTGGATCAACCTGACATTAAATATTAATTCATTCTTACAGCCATCGGTGGGTTTTTTACTGTACAAATGACATTGTTTTGGTCCATTTTGCACCAATTCTGGTTGTTGTTCAATTTTATGTTACATGTGATAATAAATCTGCTCATTTTAACATTTTTTCCATCAGATTGGTGTGTTTTCTTGATCCATAAATAAAAATGTGTGACTTTAATGAGGACTTTATCAGTGTGGTACAGACTCTGAATACTTCCTTCCTCCTATAACTGTAAAACCAGAAGTTCCTTTAACTAAGATTTTAAGTAAAACTAACTTAATTTTGTAAATTAAAAACATTCTTGATCGAGTATGTTTAGTAAACTTAAGTGATGCTGATTTAATACCTAATAAAAAGTACTTAATCAGGATTTTTTCTATAATTACTCAAAAAAGCTGCTTAATCAAAAATCTTTAACTTATAGTTAAACTTAAGCTTCTTTGAGTTAAACTAACTAATTACAGTGTAAAGTACAGGAGGGAGAAAGCTAATTTATAGACCTACATTAAACCAGCTACTTATGTTTAAAAAGTTAGGTTTTTTAGATTAATATTCAGATGTAGGTTACATAACTAATTATAATAATACCTTTATTTTATATAGCACTTTAAAAAGGTACTCAAAGGCACTTTACATGGACAGAAATATTAAGGGCAATATCAGTAATAAAACAACTAATATGACAATATCAACTATAAACAAGAAATGCAAGAATTTCAACATAATTTAAATATATTTCACTTTGTAGAAACAAAATGCCCAATTGAAGTTTTCATGCATATTTATTCTGTTTTATTCTCTCTGAGTTTAACCTGTAAACCTGCGCAGAGTTCCAGTTCTGATACTTGTGAAGTAATTTTATTAAAGTGCAGCTGATTTCCATATTGTTCGGTTTTTTCCTGGAGAAAGCTCTGATTCTGTATCCTGCTGTGATTGTTAACTGTGTGCGAGCAGCAGAGCCTCAGTAAGCAGATTTATGCGGACGGATTTATGCTCTCGCCTTCTGATTCGTCCACTCTGCTAACTTATTCCCTCGGGAGCGGGCTGAGGAGACGGCAGGGAGGCTGATCCACATAATGCTACGGGTGTTTTGCAGCATCAGCCCGGTAAATGTAGAAGAGAAGTGAAACAAGGACCGGATCAGGCGGATAAAGCAGAGTCACTGTGCGCTGCGAGGCTTTTGCGCTTGGAGAGCGGAGCGCACGGCGCGCAGTGCGCAAAAGGGGCGCCTCCGATGAGCGTGCTCACGGGGAAACTCACACAGACTTCACATGTAAGGCTCACACTTATCTCAAGGCTGCTGGATACGGCTCATAGATGAAAACTGCTCCGGAGAGGGTCCTTCTCCGTCGGACAAGGAGCCCGTCAGTCTGCGGCGCACGGCCGAACACCGGCGACCATGTCGGACATCTCCACTGATTTCAACAACGACACGCTGCCGGCGGCTGCGGTCACAAACTACAATTTCCCAGCGCTCATATTCGGGATTTTGCTGATTGTGATCATCACCGGAGGGAACGTGCTCGTGTGCCTCAGCGTGCACTTGGAGAAGGCTTTAAAAACGACCACAAACTACTTCATAGTCAGTTTGGCGTTTGCAGACTTGCTGCTGGCGGTTCTGGTTCTGCCGCTCTTCGTTTACGCAGAGGTAAGCACCGAGCTACAGTAGTCCAGATGGATTACTGAAGGAGAGTGTATCAGGTACAAACCGTGGGGCCTGAGAGGACAGTGGGGCACCCGGGGGGTGGGCGGGGGGGCAGTGAGTGTCAGTGTGGATCTGTGGCTGGAAGCTTTACACGGCTGCTTCAGTTCCAGTCTGAACTAAATACTGAAGTTCAGCTGCATTTTTTTCAACAAATAGCAACAACTGAGAGTTCTGCTTCACCCAGAATTTCACATAAAGACACAAATCGATTACAGAGACACAAATAACTACAGAAACACACAAAACAACCATAAAGACACAATAAAACGACTGCAAACAGCTATAAAGAGGCGCAAACAACCACAAACAACACTGATGCATCAATAGACCTTTTTCACAGCAGCCATTTTGACATGAAAGTAGGGTAAACACAAGCGTTACCAGTTAAACTAATTAATTATGCTTCTGTTCCAGTCAGGTCAAACAGAGTGAAGGTGCAAGTAGGCTCACTGGAAAAGTTCTGTTACACTAAATGGAGCCTTAATTGATAATTATTGGTAACACCTATGTTTACCCTACTATTTCATGTCCGGCTGTTGTGAAAAAGGCATATTACAGCCGTTTTGCTCCTATGTAGGAGGGGGATTGGGGGCCTTTTCTACCTGAGAATGTTTCTATACATTCTCAGGTAGAAGTATTTTAGATATCCTGGTTTAAATTATAGATATGATCAATGTCTGGACTGGTGTGATCAGGGAAAGATACCAATTAAACCAGTTCATGACACAAAATAGAGGATAGACCATCATTTCTCTCACCTCTCTAATCGGGATTAATTCATTACAGGGGGAGTCACTGGGAGGTTTATACTGGTTGTTAGGAGAAGTATGATGCATGAATCACAATCTTTCTAGGCAACAGAAAGGTTTAAACGGTGTCATCCAGCCCTTATTGAAGTATTAAAGGCCACCTGCCTGCTTGCCTGTCTAAATATCTCTGCAGCTCAGAGATGCCCTACTGAGGCTTCACCTTAAGTCCTCCTTTAATTAGCCACACTTGTGATCTTGTTACCTGTGCCAGTAGTTGCAGCCAGTTAACCTACTGGAGTCTCACACCGCTGGTTTGTCCGCATGAACTCCGACCGGATTAGGAAAGTCAGTCGGAAAGTTAAAACTTTTCCACGTTCACCTGAAGGGAAGTCAGTGGAGGAGAATGCGGACAGTCTGGACAGAGCTGTGTTTCACTGGAGGAATGTTTGTCTCAGCGCTGAGCTGCAGTGGTGCAAGCACAAGAGGATTAGACGTATTTACACTCAGATTTGGGGCAGCTAATGAGTTGGTGTTTGTTTCTTTTCTCTCTCTCTCGTGTGTGTGTGTGTGTGTGTGTGTGTGTGTGTGCAGTTCCAGGGTGGAGTTTGGTCCTTAAACATGCTTATGTGTGATGGTCTGATGACCATGGATGTGATGCTGTGCACCGCATCCATATTCAACCTCTGTGCCATCAGCGTGGACAGGTATGTGGGTGTCAAGGTTTATATGGAGATAAATCACCCCCGCTGTTGTTACATGAGAGGGAGCTTCAGTTTGGTTTTTACTGTGCGAGCCAGCGGAGGAAGGGAATGAGAAAAAACGGTGCTGGTTCATATTGATCGATTTTATCCATTAATAATACAATTCAGCATAACAATAGCTAGAGGCACTTTATATGTGTTTGTTTTGGGGAAACAAACTGTTAGCAAGGGATAATACATTAAAATGTGATCATAAGACACAACAGACTAATGACTAATCTTATTAAAGTTCTCTGTTAAAGCTAAACAAATCAATATTAGTTATATTAATGAAAAAAGCTGTGGCGATGAACCAACAGAGAATTATCACTGCTGTTCCTCTCAGCGTCTCTCGGCTCACTGTTTTGGTTTTACTGTTATGGTTCACCCTCATCGCTCCCAGCAAGGTTGGACTCAGATATTTCCTACAGGAGTTGGTGGAGTCTAAAACAGATTTGAAAAAGAGTAGATTCATATTCATCAGTTTGAGATGACTTCAGATTATTGCTAACATTGATCTGCGTCTGCTGGACGTGTAGGCAGCGACGCATGTCTCGTTATGAACTTTCTGGCCTCCACGTCGTCCATTAATTCCTGATAATGGACACCTCAAAGGGCATTATATACCACTGTCACTTTCCACAGAAAAAAAAGATAATTATTTAATATTTTCATGCATTTTGCAATTAAAATCTAAAGTTTTTATGAGCTATAACTCTGCCGACCTGAAGGTAAATCAAATAAAGTAACATTGGTGCATTTTTGGGAAAGTTTCCAGTAACTTTCTTACAGATAAACAGGTAGTGTGGTTTGTACACTTATATAATTATTACCAACAACGGCACAAACAATCAACAGTTAGTTGATTATAGAAATAAAACAGAAAAATAGTTTTATGTTAATAAAATATTCTCCACACCAGCTTGAAATCTGTCGCTGAAGGAAAAATTAAACTGAAAAACATAAGCAGATGGCAGAAAGAAGAACTAAGCACTATGAAGCCCTTATGTAGTTTATTTATTGTATTATTTCTTTAACTAAATAAATATGAATATTATTAGTAGATGCATTGCAGAAAAACCTGTTTGCCTCATACAGAATGAGCCAGCTTTTTGTTTTGACTTCTGGAACTTTTTAAAGTAACCTTTCAGATTACACTGGAGTAATAATCATGTTATATTTGGACTAAGAATTAGTATTTGTTAAGTAACTGAAAGAAAGTTGTTCTTTAGAGGTTTAACCCTTCCTCCTTTGTTTTGCAGGTTCATTGCAGTGTCCATTCCCCTAAACTACAACCGTAAACATGTGGACCATCGTCAGCTCATCCTGCTGTCGGCTACCTGGCTGCTGGCCCTGGCCGTGGCCTCCCCTGTCATCTTTGGCATCAATAACGTGCCTGACCGCGATCCCACTGAGTGCAAACTAGAGGACAACAACTACGTGGTTTATTCCTCAGTCTGCTCCTTTTTCATCCCCTGCCCCATCATGGTCCTGCTCTACTTTGGGGTTTTCCGCGGGCTGCGGCACTGGGAGGAGGCCCGGAAGGTCAAACTGCGCAGCAGCATCGAAGCCTGCAGGAAGCTGCAGCATGCAGCTGTCGCCACCGCCCTCCCCCCGCTGACAGGCACCATCCCCGGGCCTCTGCCCATGCCTCTACCCAGGATCATCGAGAGGGACTTGGCGCAGTCTCGGCTGGACGACACTGGCGACTACATTCAGCAGGAGATTCCTTATCCTCGGCAGTACAGAGAGAACTCAGTGCCCTCACTGACGTTCAGCCATCAGCTGCACAGGAAGAAGAGAGCCAAGATCAACAACAGGGAGAGGAAAGCTATGAGGGTGCTACCTGTCGTAGTAGGTGAGTCTTCCTGTTCTCCCTCTCCTCCAATCAGAGCTCACAGGACTGCAGCTGTGACAACTCAATCTTATTATCGCTAAAGAACCATAACTGTGTTTTTGTGTGTTTTAGTCCTGAACTACAAATCCCTACTTTTCAGCACCTGAACTGAATTTATAGCTCGCAGACAGGCTGCTTTCACTTAGTGCCCGGATGGAAAACAGACTCTGGAGCTGACCTGCTTTGGTGCTGGAGCCTCTTTTGTACGCTCAAACTAGAATTACGCTTCTCCAAGTTGCAAACGAGCAAACTACGGATGTGCATCTCCATCACTGAGGCTGCCAACCAGCCGATACATATTAAAGCAACTACTAATGCAATGCAATTCGACACAATCTGATTCAACAGCATCTGATACGATACAATGCAAAGAAATAGGATGCAGATTTGATGTCGTATATTCTTCTTAAGCAGCTTGAGAAACAGTTTAGAGAAGGAATCAATCTAAATATAATTATTGTCGTGACCTTAGAATGAGGTTTTTATCTACAGAGGGAGTCGACTCTAGAGGACCTGACTCGAGTCCGCCATGTTGGACCGCCACATAGCCCAGAACAGACAAACCAAACACTGGCTCCAGATAGATTTTTCACGATTCTGAAGCATTTTACATTTTATTTTTATATAACTTTTCATTGCTGTTGTGTGAACAGATTGTAAAGTAAACTAAAAAATGAGACTTTCTTGGTTTCCTGTAACAGCAGGGCTAAAGTCAGTCTGAGTGCTACTGGCTCTGTTTAATATCTGACAGTGATTACTGGTTGAAATGGTCTTTAGGGCTTCATTATCTACAGAAATGAATTTCTTAGAGCCAAACTAGTAAAGCGAGTCTTTCTTTTTCTTTCTTTCTTTTGGTTTCTTTTCTTTATAAGAAAACTGTACAGTCTCCATTCAGAAGGCAACAACCGACTCATTTAAGGATTCCCTTTCTGTGTTTGTTTGCTCGTAGAAGATGATTTTGCACTTCTAAAAGTTTTTATAAATGTCGCTTCCTCTGCTGTCGAGGGGCATTGTGCCAGAAGAGTCCTTGTTTGAGCACCTTTCATTACGGCCACTTTTGTATTTCAGTTATCTGTTTATTCACTGAAGCAGGAAATGGAAGTAAAATTGCTCCTGACAGTAGGTGAGGTGTTTAAGTGCTGAACAGTTCAATATGGTAATTACAACCCTGTTTAAAATCGGCACTGCAGCAGCTGTAAGTAATTGTGCCGATATTGCTTGTTGTGTGTGTGGTGCCTATTAATCAAACAGGATCAGAAGATAAATTATACACAAACTTCCCTCACTCACCTTTTCTATTTCAATCTCTGCTCCGTAAATCAAAATTTTTTTTTTTCCCTGAATTTTATTCTACGTGTTAACAGATTCTAGGAAACGTTTACCTGCTGTTTTAAAACAGTTAATTAACTTTTTGCACTTTACAGTTTAATTAATGTTTGAGTTGCAGCTCAGGTGGGCGTAAGGTTGCTGACGTCCATGCAGGTCACTCTTGACTGCGGGGATAAAAGCCTTACCTCTGACTAGCCGCTGCTCAACAAGCAGCGCCATTACAGCTTAAAGCCCTCAATCCAATTATTATGCAACACATGCTCTTACAGTCACACCGTCTCCACACAGGCTCTGCCCTCATTTGTTTACTGTACATTCACTACTGACACATTTGTGTGAGAACGGGTAGTACGTAGTGGTAAAGACTGTAAAACCATTCACACTCACTTATGGTGACAGTAAAGTTTAAACGTGGATTTCAAAGCCTTGAATGCGAAGGTCAACCTCATCAACAAGGAAAAAACACAAGACATAAATAACCACCAATATCTGAGACCACCTCCTCACATGTTTTCAGACATTCAAAAATACTCTGCTTTAAATTAATCTGATACGTTTTTCCCACAAAAGAAGTTCAATTAACTTACAGCTGCCTCTTCTCCCTCATTAGAAACCCAGAACCTATGAATATGCAAATATTGTAAATATGTAAATGAGACGAGATTTAAGGTGAGCACAGAGAACTGGGTCATTCTGCAGAGTGAAGCAACAATATATAAAAATATATCCTTAAACCTTAAAAGATGTCAACTGCAGACATGACATAGTTGATATTTTTAGAATAACAATGTCTGAAACAACAGTCGATTATCACCTGAATCTGCAGCTCGTTATAGTGAGTTTTGGTTGATTTTGTTCACTCAGTTTTTAGAGAAAAGGCTCTGATAAGCAGTGGAGCACCAAACAGCTGACAGACACCGTTAAGGCTAGCTGGTGAACATGGTTGAGGATTTAGCAGCTAAAGTTGGTGGACACCAAAACAAGAGTGAATATATTAACCAGAGTTGACATGGAAACAAACCTTGTACAATCCAAAAACACAAGTGACGTAAAATGTCAAAATCAAAGTGAAACTGCCAACAAAAGAGTCCACCGACACTAACGGATGTTGTCCCGAGTGACAACAACATTCCTGTTTTTGTCATCTTAAAACAGATCAGTCAGTAAAAAACTGTGAATCACCGCAACCATAAGAGATCTTTGAGTATAGAGTCATAAATGTGTATAAACCATTTGAGGCTGGTGGGTTCAGTAGTGTGTGAGATATGCTGCTGATACACACACAGACACACACACACACACACACACACACACACACACACACACACACACACACGAGGAAACCAACCAAAATGAAGCCAATAACATGCAGTTCCTCAAACAGCCACTGGAGGCAGTCAATCTCCATAAAGCCCCATATTAAAATGCTCAACCTTACAGCAGAAATAAACATATTTACAACCTGGTGCAAAAAACAGATTCAGTCTCTAGAGCTCTGTAACTCGTTTAAAATATATTAAGGCTTAAAGTTATGCATAATTAAATAATTAAGGGTGTGGTCGTCACAGTTTGTTCAGTTCCCTCAGCTCCACATCTTTTGGATAAACTCATCAAGGCTTTCTGTTGGACAAACTACGTAATATAATAATTATATATATTGCAAGTAGTACCCATAAAACATTTAATTGATGTAATCTTTCTAATAAAAGTCATTTATTAGTTTGTTTTAGTGTTTTTAATCATTTGTTTCGTGTTTTTGCTCATGAACTTTGCGTTGCATTGGCTATGAAACGTGCTACATAAATACTTGAAACCTTAACTATCAGGTAAATGTATCATTAATTTCTCTTATTGCAGAGTTTCTGTCATGTTCTTGTGCCTGAAATACTGGGACGGAAAGCAGAACAGACATGAAATCTTACATTTAACACTGTATTATCAGAGCTGGCCTGAATGCATCTTGTGAATAAGAAGTGCACTCTGACAGTAGAACTGTGGCATATTATGCAAAGTCCCCCAATCTCCTGGAAACAAAGACATAAATCCCATCCATCAAGCTCCCAACACAGAGCTAATAAATCACTCGGATCTGTTTTTATCGCCAACGTAAGACGACACCTGAGACAAATGGCCTCAGTTTGATTCAGTGACACAGTTATTCATAGTCCGCGCTCATCAAGGAAACTAAGCTTATTAAGGTGAGTTATCAGGACCTTTGGTTTCAGTTTGAGGAGGGCCTTTAAATCACACACTGAAGTCTTTAAACTGACCAACAAAAGCAAGATTACCGTCCGACCTCTGTCCTCGTGTGGTCACTTTTATATATGAAGGTTTACAGAAGTTGTTTTTTCTGCTTCTGCATCTTAATCCTCTCTGTGAACTTGTGAACTGTGAAATTTATGATTTTCTTGAGAAGGAGTGGAGGGAAAAAAAGTCAGGAAATCCAAAATGTATGGAACGCCCCCGAGCGGTAATGTCTCGAGTTAAAATGATGAGGCGGCAGGATCGTACATTTCTACTTTGTCTCTAATGAAGTCAGTCTTGGTTGTGAATCATTTAGAGTCACAGAGAAACACATCGTCTTCGTTTGACGCATTTCCTGCTGAAGCTGAATCTTCAGGGGGGACAAAACACTGAAAGGTAGAAATTAATAGGAGATCAGTTGGGAGGAGGCTTATTTCTGAGGTGAGGAGGGATGTTAAAATAGAGCCTATTTCGTGGTTTTATGGATGAGTTTTTATTTTCTTGCCTACAGTTACAGGTCATCCATTAAAGTTATATCCCCACATTCAGTTGGACACTGATTTTCCATAGTGTAGAATATGAACTCACTCAGAAGGATGTGCTTGAAAGTAGAGTTTTTTAAACTTTGATATTAGTTTTGCAAACTTTTACAAAACTTTTGAAGCTTGAATCTGCAAACTTTTGGTAATGAAAGCTTGCATTCGTGAAGTCTGTGCTTGCAAGTCTATTTATTTAACATTTGTGAGATTGTGTATTCGGTTTCGTGTTTGCAAGCTTCCAGCGTTGATCTCCCGTCTGGTCCTCGGGATTTGGACAGTTCAAACACTGTCGGTCTGAATCAGCTAACAGCTGCCTACTGTCTCACTGTAGCAGCTCTAAAGTCTGTTAGTCAGAGGTTACATTTACTGGCCTGTTTCCCTTCTGAATCCTCCATTTTCTTGACACAGTTCTGTGAACAGGGGCGGATCTAGGAGACATTCATGGGGTGGCCAGAGACAAACCTATAAATCACAAACAATCACATATATCAATATTTGCTTGTAAAACCACCCAAATGAAGATATTTGTAACCAGATAAATTATTTAACTCAACAATAATTGTTCAAACTGATTACATCAAAATCACATTTTTAAGTTAAAATAACCACATTTTGTAAGTTAAATAAAAATAACATTCCAGCTTAAGTAATTTTAAATGAGAATGACTCAGGAACGTGTTTGTAACTTAAAAAAAGTCAGTGTCACTTAAAATTAATTGTAAAAGCAACTTAACCAATCATTTTCTTAATCTAAAAAAAGTTTGTGTTACTTAAAAATGTTGAGTTAAATGAATTTATATGGTTTTACAGTGTATTTTGGCACATCAGTAAAGCATTTAACAGAAATATCTTTTGGTGGCATCAGAAATGTATAATTATTGTGATTATAAGAAATAAATTATTTGATTATTTCCCATTTATTTCTGACATTTTTTGAAATACATGTAATTGTTATTGAATTTAAACCTTTCACTTAGTCTAAAATGAGGCCATACATTTTTTAAAACGTTGCTTTTGTTGCATTTGACACCATTTAACTCCTGCATCTGAGTTTTTTTGTGTCGTGACTTGGAAAATGAAGTTTGCAGACAAGAAACTGAACTTATAAAACAGAGTTTACAGGCAGAAAAATAAATCTTCAGACTGAGAATGTACAAACAATGTTGTGTTCTCTGATCTCGGCTCTACCCAGCAGCACATCTATCGACAGCTGGCTGTGAGGGAAGAACTAAAGCATCAAGACATTGTTAAGATTCAGACAAATCTTTATTTACAACCTCTAAGAGACTCGTTTTTAACACATTCAGCGATCACATTCATAAAAAAAGACTTAAGGTGTCTTTGAAGTGTTAAATAGGAGAGTCATACTTGATTACTTGAGTATTTTAATTTTCTGCTACTTTTATTCACTTTAACTCCTTGAAGAAACAAATATTGTACATTTTGAATCCACTACATTCATTTAATCCCTTTAGTTACTTTGCAGATTTATAACACAAAATGTAATCAACAAATATATTATGATGTATTATTGTTACCCAGCAGTATACAAATAATTCAAATTAGCTTCACATTTACCAGCTGCAACATTAAAATGATGAACACATTATGTCAATAATTATGTTCTAATAATATATTAATTTGAATTCTTAAATGGTCAATTCTGCATAATGAGCACTTTTTTGTCATATTTTGATGCTAATACTTTACTGTACTTTTACTTAAACCAGCTACTAATAACTTTAATTTTGTGTTGATTCGGGCGCCCCCTGTGAACAAAGGCGGTAGTGTTTCGACTGCCTTGTTTCATTGATTTCAAGGGGAATGAATGCAGTACTTTTACTAGTAAGAGTATTTTTACACTGTGGTATTGCTGGTTTTTAATGAGATCTGAGTACTTCTTCCACTGACAGCAGGTTTACAGTTTGGTGTGCAGAGCTCACAGTTAAATGGATAAAAAATTTGAACTACAACAAACTTTGACAATGAAGATTTCTTATAGCCTTTTGACATAAAAAGTGCTTTCAATCCTTTTTCTCTCCTAGATTCTGGTTCAAAATGCTCTGCAATGAAATAAAAAGTAAAAAGAAATGTGTTGGGTTTTCTACAAGCTGATCTTTGTATGCAATTAAAATTTAAAGTACATAATTCAAAAAGTCTGAATGTAGCTGAAGTGACATTTTCCACAAAACAATAAATTGAAGGACAGGATTTTGCTCCTGTAAAGAAAAGTCACCATGCAAAACATTTACAGCTCTGACACTTCACATTGTTGATTTATGCTATTTCACTGCTCCTTCCAGCAAAAACAAGTATGATTGGCACAAAAAGGCACAATTGTTGAGAGAATAAAAACCCCCAGATACATACTATCACATTTTTGTGAAACATCCTGTCACAATATTTTGTGTCACCCAGTCACGAATGAACCTCCACGCAGTCGTGAATCTGTCAATTTGTGTTTGAAAACAAGGTCTCGGTTGAAAGTCAAATCAGTTTTATTTATACAGCCCGATATCATAAATCACAGTTGTCCTCAGAGGGCTTTACAATCTGTACAGCGAGACACATCCTCTGTCCTTAGACCATCGATTTGGATGAGGAGAAACTCCCAAATAACTCAGAGAGAGCAACAGAGGAAGGATTCCTCTCCGAGGACGAACAGATGTCGTGTGAACAGGATAGAAATGTGCAAATTAGGATGAGAAAATTACAGATGCATGTAGATTATAAAACATATGTAAAATAAATGGATTGATGAGGATGTTGAGTAACCTCCTCTTCATCACTCAGACTTTGATGACTGACTCTCTTCCACATTTTCCTGCAGGTTGCTTCTTGTTCTGCTGGACTCCGTTCTTCGTGGTTCACACGACGCGGGCCGTGTGTTTGACGTGCGACATCCCTCCCAGTCTGATGAGCACGGTCACCTGGCTGGGCTACGTCAACAGCGCTCTCAACCCCATCATCTACACCATCTTCAACACCGAGTTCAAGAAATTCTTCAAGAAATGTTTCCGCACCTGCTGCTGACACCAGATTCTCCTCCGCGGACACTACGGGGGGAAAGGAACCGGGAGATGATGAAGCTCAGCCGGGTGAAAACACTTTGGTTTCGCTTGGATTAACAGCATATAATTTATAATTGGGAAGTCTTGGGCTTCCAGCTCAGCTTCGGGCTGCCGGCTGGATGTGGATGGCTGATGGTATCTGGCTGACAGGAAAAAATACACGTTCAAACACTGCTAAAGAAAGCAGTTACTGGGGATATATATTGCATTTCTGGGTCCATTTTGTCATTTGGTGATGTACTTTCTTGATCCTCTGGGATTACTGTCCAAACAAAATGATGATGTTGGGGTGGAAGCTGCAAAAAAAAAAAAACAGCTACGCACTGACACAAACTCCCCTGTCTGCGAGGAGCTTTTCACCAAATTCAGTTTGTCTGTACAGCACTTCTTTTTCTTTTTTTTGGAGAGTACTGTATATCAGCCGCGGTTGAAGTTACGGTCTGCCAGTTTCAGTGAACGACGTGGGATTTGTCCAGAGCCTGCTCTGCCTGAAAGAGCAAAAACGTCCCCTGGATGCAGAAAGCCTGAATAAGCTTCAACAGACCAGAATGTTAAACAGCTGAAAGGAACCGAAAGTGACTAAAAGAAATCCTCTAAAATCAGACATTGATCTTCACTTTCTTATACAGTTTTGACATTTTGGGAAATACACTTATTCTCTTTCTTGCTGAGAGTTAGAAGAGAAGACTGATACCACTCTCATGTCTCATGTCTGTACGCTGAGTATAAAGCTACAGTCATTAGCCAGTTAGCTTAGCACAAAGACTGGAAACAGGGGGAAGCAGTTGGTTCCAATTAAGAGGCGCATTTCTTTTTGTTTTATCCGTCCAAAAGCCAAAGTTAAAAATAGTTAATAGAGATCAATATCTGTTCAACCACCTTAATTATCTGTATTGGTATCTGTGCTTTACCCCAAAATCAAAAATACAGATTTTTCCTTTTAGCTGTAGTTGTACTTTTGGTGTGAGTTGCTGAGTTTTGGAGATATCTGCCTTCTCTCCAATTATACTTTTGTGATATAGTTGCCGGGTATAGGGATGCACCAATTGTGAAATTCTGGGCCAATACCAATAACAATATTTAAAATACCAATTTGGCTGATAACCAGATGTTTCTTTGTTGTTATTTAATTTACTTTTTGTGCCAGGGAAATAAAGAAATGCACAAAGATAAGTATCTTGTGGCCAGTGATGGGTGCAGTTCGGTAGAAAGAAAATAGTTCCTCCATTAAACTGCTCCCTACAAGGTTTGTGGATTATCTTGAGTATTAATTCTGGAGAGAGACATTGAGTCTATCTACAGCTCTGCCCAAAACTCAAAAAACAAATCTAGATCAGGAGCAACCTGTCTGGAGCTGCAAAACATATGTGAGCCCTAAATAGAAAAGCTAATACATATATACCTAATAAATACCAGTAAGCCAGCACCATTGGTGGTGAAAGCAAACCAATCTGTCCTCGCACTATTTAATTCTCTATTTTCCTTTGAAACTTTTCTTTTATGGATTTGAAACCAAAGCTGAACACAGCGTGTGGCGCTCGGTTAAGTGTCATTAAAGGCAAGTCTAGTTGCCACTGCTATTGAGGTTCGGCAAACAGAGCCACGGGTTGCCTTCCCCTGATCTAGATGGATAAATAGCACTACAGGTAAAAGGAAAAATATGTATCTTTGATGTTTGGGGTAGACTGTCCCTTTAAAGTTCACATCAGTCCTCATGCCTCTATCGAAAGTCATAAAACATGAGAGTTGTTCTGGGAAACACCCGAAGCCACCAACTGATCAATGAGTAGAAGGCGGTCAAAGTCAACCAGAAAATATCAAAAAGGCTTCATCAAAAAAAAAAAGACATCTAACAGGAATCTGAAGCATGATCCGAATGCGTGTGAGCGGCCCGGGTGGATTTGTCCCAGTAGGATTAGCTGCCACAGCGACCTGAGGAGCAGAACTTGAAAGATCAGCTACATCCAGTCAACTGACAGTCACCCCCCCCCCGTCATGGATCACTGACTTCTTCTATGAACTGTGTGTGAATCAGTAAAAAGGTTCACAATATGGACCAGCTCAACGCAGCTTTTCAAAGTAATTTTTAACACATGTACGGATACAAAACCTTTCATACAACACTGCGTAGCAATATGCCTTAAACTCAAAGGATGTACTGTCTGTCGTGGTAGAAGTCATAGCACTCAAACCCTCAACACACTGAGGACATTTACAGCAGCACCGACTTAATAAGATCTCTCAAAAAGTCATTTTTAAGTTGTCAAGAACATATTTCCATTCCTGTTTCATATAAAACCTTTTTTCAGCATGTCGAGTTTATATTTGACACATCGACACCCGTCAACCTCAAACGCTGAGGAGTCCCGACTTTCTCTGCTTTAATGTGATTCATTCCGGCGCTGAGAGGACGACACATCTACATCTGTAAGTTATAATAAATAATGTAATAAAATACAAACAAGGGAGGAGGACAGGATTCACTTCTGCTACTCTGGAAAGAAGAAACCTGCCCAGTAATTATTTTGCCGCCATGACGAGTAAATATTTGCTCAGTTTCTTGTTATAAACAGAAACAAATAATGTTTTAACAAGATCCTTTTGATATGATAACAGAATATATTAGTAAGGCTGCATGATGTGGTAAAAACATCATATTGTGATTATTCTGAGATGTTGTGATTGTGATATGATTCATGATTAATGTTAAAAACTCTTAAAATCATGATGATGTGAGTTTTTGGGGGTCTGTACCATGAAAGAGATGTATTCTTATACCTGGATCTCTGCAGCACTACAGTACTTCATTATAATGCTGTTCTGTCACATATAATTGTGATTTTGATAATATTTTGATTAACTGTGCAACCTTATATTTTAGACAGATAAAGTAAAATGTATTTCCCACAGTTGCACAAACAAGTAAGGAAACTACAGGATTTACAGGGACACTTAATTACAGGGGTCACACAACAGAGGCACAAACACTCCACCTCCTGAATCTGGATCTCTAGTAACTTAAGAGTAGGTTACTTATTTAAAGCTCGTGTGGCTGCAGGAGAAGAGCTCTTGTTAAAGAGGGCAGTAACCTCCGGGGCGTAATGTGCCAGTGGAGTGGACGGTCTGCCTCATGTGTGATTGTGAGTGTTTGCTTTAAAGAGTTTCTGTGGTATTTTTCTGCCTCTACCTTATTCTCCCAGGGGTTTTTTTGTGTCAGAGTGATTCATGGGGACAAGTTCTGAATTTGGTCCAGTATTGAGTGAGACGTAATCCTTATGGGCACAATTATGACCGTTAGAAAGTGTTGTGACATCTCGGGTGAGGTGACTTGTTGCAGGAAGACAACAGTGGAAGCGTGAGCGTAGTAAAGCCAGCAGAGAAGAGTTTGTAGTGGTGGAGGACAGAAGACAAAGACACGATGATGACGATCCGAGGAGGGTGAACTGGCTTCTGCAAGTCGGCCACGCTCAGGAGACCGGTGGTGGTCCCGTGGGTGTCCACTGAGGAGATTTCACAGATTACACTACAACGTTTTCTTTCCATAATGCTGTCAGAACAAGCACTTTTAATAGACGCACTTTGATGATGCACAGTTTTGCTGCTCCCCATCAGTCACTTCGACACAAAAACACGAGAAAATAAAGGTTGAAAAACACCGAAGTTACCCTTTAAAGAGTTTATTATTGGTGATTGTAAGCATTTGGGAAACAACATATGGCACTATACAGACGAACTGGCTCAATAATGCTGCAGTGCAGGAACAGAAGAGGGTTTACAGATGGCTGTTAGTCCCTGTCACAGTGGCTGTAAATGTCAGAGCTGATTGAAGCTGAAGTTATTGTCCAGAGTAAACGCTGAAAGACCTCCTCCCCTCCTAAAGGGGGAGACCGGGGGCATGAGCAGCGTTTCTGGGGGGAGTTATGAATTACCAGTGAATGAAAATGGAATAATTTGGTTTATAAAAAGAAATATAATCTTATAACATGAAAAATATTCCGTTGTAACAGGATTTTATAACGAGAAAGTGATCTGATATTTGTTGTCATGGTGGCAGTAAAACATTATCGTGTGTTGCACTAAATTTCAGCTCCGAATTATCAAATTTCCTTCCAGCATTATTATTTCTGCTCCTTGAAACACTCAATATGGTTCCATCTACTCAGCTTGATCAATGATGTGAGATAAAAAGCACCACAGAGGAAGTCACTTTATTGTTAACGGAGTGAAATTTGCTTTGAAAAATGTTTATTATGATGTTGAATAATAGGAAAACTCAACTGTGTCTTGATAACGTCGCTCATTAGTTATTATCCTCGTGTCAGGTTCTGTGAAAACGTTGTTTTATGTCCTGAAACTGAAAGTATTCTCGACTGCAGGATGGCTTAAAATTTGAGTGATATTGTCCTTTAAGCCATGACTGCCTGTCACCACAGTATGTATGCTTGGTTACTGACTGTGCCTACTGTATGCCATATCCACGTTTTATGTGGAAACCTTTATAATAAAGTGTGTCATCTTTCTAAATGTTCCAGTTGCCTTCAGCTGAAATCCAATCGGCTCAGGTTTTTTCCGACTCTCTCGTCTTTAAAAAAGAACTTCATGTGCTAGAACATCTTGTGCTGAGCAAACAGACCGGATCGCTAATGTGATTTTAGATACTTTGGTTTTGGGTTTTTTTTTAAAGATAGAGCCACAGTTCAGATTTTAAAATCCTGTTTATGCATGGATGGATTATGAGACAATTGGCCCCTGAGCATGTGAAAGGTCCCCAACCTCTTTTTATTAGGGATGCATGATATGGATTTTTTCCAGCCGATAATTGATAATTAGCTGCTTCTCATGGCCGATAATTTCACCTTTTTCTATTTTTAAAAATAAATTAATAACCTGAATAGTTTATGCACATGAGGGTAAGAAAGTCTAAGAAGTAGTTAGCTCGGACCTAACTAAATCTAACTATTATCATTATTCTTGACTGTAATGTATTGACTGTAATTTAATTAGTGGAAGAAAATACATAATAATATATTATTTCCTATACGCCGATACAATAACTGAGCTGCTTCTCGTGGTAGATACCGATAATTTCACATTTTTGTATTTCAAAAAGTTAAAAACCTGTTTTTACACACCTGATTGTAAGAGAAGCGGAGATCTAGTGATCAAAGATGGATCATTAAATATTCAATAGTTCTGTTAGAACCAAATCTAACTGACACAATTTCTTTTTCTAGTAAAGTGCATTAAAAAAAAGTTTCATAGAACATAAAGTTTATCAGAAATTTTGCATAAGAACTAAAAATAAATAACGATTAATATCAACCAATAAATTATCAGCTGTAATTTAATTATCCTGATAAATTATAATAATATAAATTTCCCATTTTGGACCAGTAAATCATTGGCCCTTATATATACAGTATATCATATATCACTACTCATTTTGTGTCCCTTTCTGGTAATTCTGAGTCTCTCTCTAGTGGTTTCGTTCTGCAGGTGCTGCTGTTGGTTGTAAAACTGCTGCTGAACTTTAATATTTACTTTATGCTGGGCCTGAAGAGAAGCTGTCTTACACCTGTCTGAAGCTTCCTGCCACAGCAGATCCACACTGACACTCCTCAGTGTAATGCTGCATTCACATGGATTCAGGATGCAGACGGCAAACCGGATCATTTTAGTGGACGAGAGCAGGACGATAAAGCCGGCTGGTCTACCTGTAACGGCTTACAGATAGACGCTGCAGTCCAAACTTAGAATATTTTAACTTTTTTACTGTCCAACATCCAACAACAATGCTGCATGCAGCTCTACTGGGAGCCAGGCAATAGGTTCGTTCAGAAGTGGACGAGCCCTGAACACTCACTGCACCAGTATCATAATGAATACTACAACAGTGGTTCCCAATCTGGGGTTCAGGGCCCCCTTTAGGGATCACCAAAGCTTCAGAGGGCCTTCTTGATTTAAAGGCAGGTGGGAAAACTCTCTATAAAAATATCTCATTGTCCTGTAGTCAAAAAGTTATAACAACCAAGAAAACACAGAATTTATCAAAAAAGAGTCGTGTCAAGTCTGTATGATTGTTTAAGAAATGTAAAATACATAAAATAGCCAGAGGGTTGTATAAAAAGTTCCTATAATATCAGGAAAACTCATCTCTGATCAATATTCACAGAAAATAATCTGCTCAAAATGCATCCAAATATTTCATTTTACAAAAACTTCCTGGAGTTATTGAGTCTCCCTGAAGGAAAACTACAAAGTAAAGCACCTTGAGCTGCAGTTAAGTACAAAGGACCCACATTAATGCTATTGAATTTAAAATGGGATTAATGAGGCCGGGAAATCTTCTGCCTCCGAGTGAGAAAAATACGCCCTGAAAAAAGACCCCCAACCGAGAGCTGCAGATTGAACATCAGTGCACAGTCTCACCGCTTCCTACTCAAACTCTGATGACTTCATGTTAAGAACCTAAATTCAGCTTTTTCCATCCACTGTATTTTTAGTCTTGAAGTGCAGCTGCCAGAAAGTCAGTGTTACTCTGAAATAAGCAACTACTCGGTTCTTTCTCATTTAGTAGCAGTTCTTGAGCTTTTGATCGAATTACTTGATGTTCTTCAGCAGATAGAGTCCACGCGGTCGGCCCCCTGAAGACGGCTTCACAACTAGGAAGGTCTGTAGTCTCAAGTCAGTGGTTCCCAACCTGTTCCTCCTGACTCAGTGACATATTTTATATTATATTTAATGTATAATAAAGACAAACTGTTTAAAGAACCCAAACAGTGAACACAATAGCTGCAGGAAGTTTGTGTAAAGAATCGATTGATGAATTTTCTACCGGCTACTTACTGCCGCTTTAATAATATAATAAAGATATTAAAAAGTGGGGCAGACATAAATGAGAGTAAAGCGGTGGGACAGGATTTGACTTCAGCACTTTAGCAGACGCTAGCATGAAAGGGGGAATGTTAGTTTCCCTGCAGTAGATGATATCATACAGTGTGATATAAGAGACTATTTCTTGTTACAGAGACGTCAGCACCACTCCCCAAAAAAAGGACCAGGACTGAGAGGAAGGGGGGAGGTGAAAATTGGAGCGAGGTGTGAGAGCCGGGTGCTGAATCTGATCAAATCTGTAAAGAAGTGCAAGACTACAGAGCTCACATTCAATCACATGTTGTACATAAAAGACGTCCTTTATATTAAACGCCGCAGTATCCTGGACGGATAAATGATTCTGTGGTTGTGTAGATTATAAATAATGTACAAGGTCAAATCTATTCAATATAATTGTGTCTTTTTTTATTAGTAAATATCAATTATAAATGTTAATGTACAATACAAAGATGTGTTTCAGCTGTAAATTTAAGATGCTTGTTATCTCTAAAAAAGAAGAATATTTATATTAAATTCAATTCATTGAATAAATCCTAATCAATTCACTGATAAATTGAGGTAATTATACTCAATTATATATTATTGATATGGAAAATAAAATATTATTAGTAATATTTTAAAATAAATAGAAGTTTCTGTTTTTTAACATCAACTCAATATTTTTAAGTGTTGATTCCTTTTTGTTTTCTATTTAAATCTACTCATATGAAATTGTCTCATTTAATTTATATTAACTCAAAATCAAACAGTTATTATTTAATTAATAATACTGCTTGTAATCTTTTGCCTTATTTTTTTTTAATTGTGTATTTGTGTGTAAAGTTCCTTAAAATTTTAGAACTAAAAAGTTACAAATTGTGATTTATTTACAGGTTGCCCCATTAAAAACTTACTAAATGCCTTTAAAGAACAGTAATATGTAAATTACTTGATCAGAAACGTCTGTAATCTGAAAGTAAAGTCGGTGTATCGTCACAAGCTGTAGGGAAACTAGTTTTAGGATGTCAAACAACATCCGATCCTTTAAAAATGAAGGTTTACTTCATTTTATTGCTGCACAATATGATAAAAACATCATATTACAATTATTCTGACATTACAATATGATTTCCCGATTAGTGTGGGAATCAATCTTTCATTGCAAATTTAATTTTCACTGAACCATTTAAACAATTTTCACCAGTTGAAATGACAAATTACAGCAGCAGATTAATTCAGGTGCAGCCAATTAACTCATTTAAATTCTTGCTCGGCTTAATGTGAGCGAGGGAAACGAAACACAACCAGCAGACAGGGATGGACATCGAGAAGCTGTACTAAACAGGGCTGCACCATATAGTAAAAACATCATATATTTACATATATACATACACATCATGTTATTTTAACCACTGAAATATGATTAAATGATGATTTTTGCTTCACAAATTGAACTTTCACTGAATAAAACCTATAAAATCTTGATAATGTGAACTCTTTTGTGGTCTGTACATGCTTTTTTTAGGTCAGGGCATCTCTTCAGAACTACAGTACTTCATTATAAACGCTGTTTGTCACACTTCTTCTTCTTCTAGGATTGCATATTACACTTATTGTGAGTTTGATAATATTTCAATTAATTGTGCAGCCTCACATTATTTATATAAATGAATGTGAAGTATTAATGTAGTTTAAAGTGTAAGGGAAATATCTGATTATGCTTTGGACTTGATGAGTTTGAGTTCTGCTGACGTTTGTGACTCTGATTCAGTTTTATTGTCAAACATATTACAGATTCACTTTATTGGATGCTGAGTTTGGACGCTGACCTCACACTTAAACTCTGTTTTAGCTTCAAGCATCATTATAAAAACCACCACCACTTAAAGGACCATTCAAACCGGAGTCTTTGTCACACTACAGGTTGTCCTCTGGCTCCCTCTGCTGGTTAAACAAACACATTAATGTTTTATAGTGAAGGTAAAAGGCTCTTCTTATTGTCACCAAATCCCATTTAAAAGATCAATAATGAACTGATCACACTATCAAGTATTGTGTGTGTATCACAGTCTCATCTATCTTCTTCCTCTGAGCCATTATTGTCCAAAACACATAAATGAGCCACACTGTTGCCCTGGGTTACATCTTCCTTCATCACCACAAACCCACTGTAGTTTATTTAGACTCAGTCACACATTCACTGTCCTGCGGCCCCAAACACTCACTAGAGCACCTAATTGTGGATTCATCCGCCAGTGAAAATAGTCCCAAACAAAAGCACTATTTCCTCCTGTTTTAAGGAGTTACTGAACCTTTTAAAAATAATTAAATTCTACCTTTGTGGTCTGTTTTAGAGATTTGTATCTGCAACATTTCGTGAGCATGTGTTAATGAACATAAACACAATGATCAGCTGCTGTCAGTCTTCCTCAGATCTTTCTCTGAAAAAGTCTTAAAAGATAAAACAACATTCTTATTTTTCTTTATTTGCTTTAATCTTAAATATTTATACAGTTTGACTTTTAATTCCACTCAGTGATTTACAGCAGAATTAAATGACTTCATACAAACAAAGGCCATCATCAGGGTCAACATTGCATTTCTTAGGCTGAATTTTAAGAAGTTAGAGGCTAATAAATAAAATATAATATCATACATACCTTTACTGTACATAAAGCTCAACAAATGTGACTATTTTTTACATTTTCTTTTTGTTGTGACAATAAAACACCTGATTAGATTTCTCTGCCACGTGTCACTTACCTTATTCACTGGTATTTGACTGAGAAACATTTGTTATACAACATTTCCACTGTAATCTTATCTGTCAGTCTGTGAGTTTCCCAGTATTCCCACTAATCCCAGTATTAGTACATGAACCTCAGTACAACGGCGTGCTGGATGCAGTCCTGCAGTGAATAAGGTCAAACCTTCGGCCTGATGTGGGGAAAAGGTCACTCTTCTGTCTTTGTTGCAGGCTGCAGATAAAAGTCACACAATAACATCAGTGAACTTAATCACCTGCTTCTGTTTGTGGAAACAAGAAATCACTGATTATATTACTGCGTGAGTCAAGTGTTTATCATCAGAACCCCATTGTGCCTCGCATGGAGTCAAAACCACTTCAGTTTCAGGATCTCTGCACTCGAGACACAAAGCTCAGGAGGCCAAAGCATTGATAAAGAGGTTTTCGAGAGAAGCGATGTGAGCTCGTAACCAAACAAATAAAAACTCACTTTCCGAGCGCTGGCCGCCATCAGCTCTTCCAGCTCCTGAGTCCAGCCGAGGGTATCGACCAGAGCTTGCACACCGCTGACCACGTCACTCAACTGCACGACGTCATGAGGCCGCCGGCTCCATGCGAACGGCCCCACCAGGTCCCTGTTGATGAGCAGACGGGGGACGGAGCTCCGCACAGCTCCCGCTAGACTGGCGAAGGGCTCCACCTGCAGAGTGAAGAGTCAGAAACAGAAACTGTTTTAAAGCTTGTTGAATTTCCCTGTTGCTGTAAAGTGCAACACAAATCAGAATCAGAAATACTTGGTTGCATTACAGTTACTGAACAAGATATTATAGAAATAAGAAGAAGAATGTGTAAAATATGTGCATTATGTGACAATATATAAACAAATGTATATAGAAACTATACAAATATAAGCTTGTGTAATAAATATGTACATTATATTACATTAAATAACAATATATAACAGAAGTGTAATGAATAAATGACTAAATACTGATAATGCTTGAGAACTGGACCCTGAGTAGGTGTTATAAAGACCAGTATAAAGTATAACTGCTGTGTTAATGAGTAAATCAGAGTATTGTACATTTCAGGGGACAGTTTAAGGGTTTAAGAGTGTATAATATATATATAATATAAAAACCAGAGAGTCAGTAAACCTCCTGCTATCTCTCGGCCTGACGTATTGTTTCAGGATGTGGTTTGAAGCCGGTGGCGCTCACCTCCAGCGAGGTTCCCATGATGATCAGCAGGTCTGCCAGCGGGAAGTCTGTCAGGTACTTGAAGAAGTGACGTGGAAGCTCCTCCCCGAAAAACACGATGTCCGGCTTGACCACGCCCTTACAGGTGGGACACTTCGGGACCGTCCCGCTGATCACATCCGGCTGATGAGACACAGAAACAAGATGTAAGATTCAATGTCAAATCAATTTCTTAGATTCATCTTTTATTGTATAAAATATTCTAAATAAATCATCTAACATTGTCTTGTTGACACAATAACTGCAGGAAGTTTGTGTAAGATGAGCCACATGGATGAATTCTGAGCATCAGAGATGAGTTTTCCTGATATTTTGAGCAACTTACTCTCAGCATTGTGTATTTTTAAAGGTTTTAACAATCATACAAACTTTATAGGCAAATTTTTTGACAAATACAGTGTTTTCTTCTACCTGTTGCATGTACTTTTTTAATGCAACTTTTTTTGCTGACATATACTGTGTATATTTAGTCTGTCTGAAATGTGTGCGTCTACAACATCCTTTAAAGCAAAAATATTGTAAAATCATTGTTGTGTGAATGAAAAATAGTTTCAATCCATATAAATTCAGGCAGCAATGAAAAGCAAGAAGTTGGACGCTTTGATCATAAATACGACTAAAAATGACCAAATCCAAGTGTTCCTATAAATAATAATAATAACAACAATAATGATGAGAAGAAGTACCAAATCTGATGTAAAACTTTTTTCATAAAGTAGAATTATTCTATGTTATATTCTAAGTCTTATTGACACGTGAACTGTATCAAAAACTTATCTTCAAGTATCATTAACTAAGAATTAAGGTATGTCCTTAATGTCGACTGTGATTAAAATCAGACAACACAACAAACCGTACTGTCTATAATCTGGTAGCTTATATAAATGTGTAGTGTTGTTGTAGGGTTGTAACTCACTCTCAGCTCCTCTCCCTCATACTTCCTCAGGCACACAGTGCAGGTGGCGGTGGCGAATGTACCGTGCGCCTCCACCAACATCTCAGGAGGAATCCCTGCCACTTTCCACAAGTAAAAAACATGCCTGGTCACAATGTAGTTATTTCTTTATCATATCAACAAAAACAAAAAGGGATGTAAATACGTACACCTCTCCAGCCCGTCGATGTTCTGCGTGTACATCCTGAGAAGCTGACCCTTCTCGTGCAGCAGCCGTACAAAATAATGTGTCAGGTTGGGCCGGTAGTTCCCCGGATACAGCTCTTTGGCCAGGGCGAAGAAGGGATTCGGGTTTCGATGGAAAAAGCCGATCTCGAATATGGCCTCGGCGTAAGGCAGGTCGTACTGCTGCAGGTTGTCGTAGAGACCGCTGCCTGGAGACCTGTGAGGGAATAACAGACCCCCAGAATGCACCTGGTATTCACAGGTTTATACGAATACTAGAAACCAGATCTAACCTCGTTTTTACCTGAAATCTGGGATTCCACTCGGCGTGCTGATCCCAGCTCCGGCCATCACCACCACCCTCTTGTACTGCTGCTCTCTGATGCTCTTGGCGACGTCCTGCAGGGTCTGTTGCTCCGCCGCTGCACCGCCGCCGCCGCCACCGCCACGGGAGAACAATCCTCGAGTCCCATTCCACAGAGAGTGTGTTTGTCTGAGGGATGAAGGAGTTTGTGGTCAAGAATCTTTTCCGTTTGCCTGCACGGAGATGCACATAAATATGAGATTTAGTGGTCGGTTTGCAGCACACACAGATTATATCCAATCACCTGAACCACTGAACTCACACTACACTTAAAGTTTTATATAGCTTGCAAGTTAAACTTTTATCATCTAAGCTTATTCTTAGTACTCGGTAATGACTTAAACAAAACAGTGTATTACAGTTTACAATCTTAAATAACAGCCAATATCATTAAAATAATGCATGATAAATATGAATACAGTGCCCGGCCCTACCTGAGGATATAATGTTACTCAGGTTTGCATTAAGTTCAGTACGGGTACGTTTTCACCGGGATAAAAATGAGACATAAAGATCACAAAGAAGGTGATGTGTCCCCTAAAATCTGCAATCACCTCCAGTTAACCTTCCTGTGAACACACACACACACACACACACACACACACAAGCAGCAGTGTGTGTGTGTGTGTGTCCTGGTAAACTAGTAGGAAGTATACCTGCACAGAGCTGGACACCAACTCCTCTGACCCAAACCTACAAAAACAAACAAACAAACAAAAACAAGGCATGTGTCACAATTATCAGTCATTTAAAATACCTGCCTGTCTGTCTGTCTGCCTGCCTGCCTGCCTGCCTGTCTGTCTGTCTGTCTGCCTGCCTGCCTGCCTCTCTGTCTGCCTCTGTCTGTCTCTCTGCCTGCCT